TCTTTGTCATTCACAACCATGTTAGCCCCAGTATCATAGTCTAACCTTAAATGATCTTATAAATCACAGCTGAAAATTGAAGGTTTGTTTTGTTTTGTTTTTGAGGAATAGTCTTGCTCTGTCACTCCAGCTAGAGTGCAGTGGCATCATCATAGCTCTCTGCAACCTCCAGCTCCTGGGCTCAGCAATCCTCCTGCGTCAGCCTCCTGAACAGCTGGGACTACAGGCATGTAGAGATGGGGGTCTCACTCTTGCTTAGGCTGGTCTTGAACTCCTGACCTTAAGTCAGGTCACTGCCTCAGCTTCCCAGAGTGTTAGGATTATAGGAATGAGCCACCATGCTGGCCTGAAGTAGCTTTTTCAATTCTTCCCTTAACTAAAAAACTATACTTAAATATTTCACAACAGTTATGAAACCAATGAAAAACATTCATTAATTTCAACTTTCTTATTTTTTTCTCCTAGTAGTTCAAAATAAATATAAATAAATGTTACTTATTTAACAAGACTTCTATTTCTGGGACAATCTAGTTGAACTGAGCAATTTTTGCTTCTAATAATTTCAGAGATGATTTCTTATCTCATCTTCTTGTTTCTTATTTAATAACTTTATTTTGAATGTTCCTTACCAGAGAATCATCTGTTTCATTATTTTTTTTTTATCCATCTTAAGTTTTTGGTCATTCTTTCATCAAATTTCAAATTTATTTCCACAAAATCCTCAACATTTTCCATTAAGTTATGAAAATACTGTGCTGTTGTGCCATGAAAAGCATCATTAAGCCAGGCTGAATATTAAACATTATGCCAAACAATTTTTATTTGTCAATTATACCTGAATAAAGCTGAAAAAAACCATTATGCCCCTGTACTAGTTTGTTATTTACTTTTATTTGTTAAATACCATCAATTGTTTGCTATATTTTTAGCCTTTTTCAGTTATAGTAATTACATCTGCACTTTTGCGTGTATGTGTAAAGAACATTTCATAATATTTTAATTGAGAATTTAAGCATTTCCTGTCACAAATAAATTCACTGGCTGAAGTCTATCTTAAAGATTAGTTGTGAAACATCAAAATACTTTCTAAATAGAGAATATAAAAGCCAATTTCTACCATAGTCTATTTGAAAGAATATGGAATAAAGTGAAATTTTAAAATGTCTGCCATGTTCATGAAATGGAAATTGTAATCATTAACTTGAATTGGAATGTGTTTTCCTAGCAATATTCTCACATTGTCAGAAGGATGTGGTGTCTCCATTTCCAAGATCATCATCCCCTCAAGTGCTCTGGAGGATTTCTTCTCTTATTTGCTGATTTCGAGACGATTAGTTTCTCATCTTCTACTAGGCAGGTCAAAGTTGCTTTTATTGTTTCTGGTTACATTTTAATTATACTAGTACTTAAATTTTCATTTAATAAAGGATATAAAATTGAAAGGATTTTTTTGTCTGACCTATTTAATTTGTGGATTTCATAAAAATAATAATCTTGTTAATTTACATTATTTTCATCCGTTAAATCTTCTTTAAATAAGAACTTGTGATCTCCTGTTTGCAAAATCTGAAGGTCATGTTCAACAGAAGTCTGCTCACATTGTTTCCATTTTGTTATTTTTAATTTAAATGGATCCTCTATTTGAAAATTTTCTTTTTTTCCTTCTAGCTTTTTTCTTTTTTTTTTTAATTTCAAAATATTATGGCGATACAAATGTTTTTGGTTACATGGATCAATTTTTCTATGTTTGAGTCAGGGTTAGAAATATGCCCATCACCCCAATGGTGTTCATTGTACATGTTAGGTAGGTTTTCACCCATCCCCTCCTCACCCCTCCCATCCCTTTGCTTGATTTCCACTGAGTTTTACTTCCTTCTGTGCACATGTGTGCTCATCAGTTAGTTCCAATTTAATAGTGAGTGTATGTGGTGTCTGTTTTTCCAGTCTTTATATACTTCACTTAAGATAATGGTCTCTAGTTCAACTCAAATTGTTGCAAAAGTCATTAAGTCATCCTTTTTTATGGCTGAGAAGCACTCCATGGTATATATATATATACCACATTTTCTTAATTCATTCATGAATGATAGGCATTTGTGTTGATTCCACATCTTTGCATTGTGAATTGTGCTGCAATAAACATTCAAGTGCAGGTGTCTCTTTGATAAAATGACTTTTTTCCCCTTTGGGTAGATATCCAGTAGTGGGATTGCTACTACTGGTTCTTTGAGGTTCTTTTATTTGTTAAATATCATCAATTGTTTGCTATTTTTTTTAGCCTTTTTCAGTTATAGTAATTACATCTGCACTTTTGTGTGTATGTGTAAAGAACATTTCATAATATTTTAATTGAGAATTTAAGCATTTCCTGTCACAAATAAATTCATTGGCTGAAGTCTATCTTAAAGATTAGTTGTGAAACATCAAAATACTTTCTAAATAGAGAATATACAAGCCAATTTCTACTATAGTCTATTTGAAAGAATAGTTCTTTGAGGAATTAGTTCTTTGAGGAATCTCCATACTGTTTTCCATAGAGGTTGTACTAATTTGCAGTCCCATCAACAGTGTATAAGCATTCCTTTCTCTCTGCATTCATACATCATTTATTGTTTCTGTACTTCTAAATGAAAGCCATTCTAACTGGGGAAGGTGATATCTCATTGTGGCTTTAATTTGCATTTCCCTGATGATTAGTGACATTGAGCATTTTTTCATATGTTGATTGGCCATTTGTCTAGCTTCTTTTGAAAAGCTTCTGTTCATGCCTTTTTTGTTTTTTCCTTGGTGATTTGCTTGAGTTCTTTGTAGATTCTGGTTATTAATCCTTTATCAGATGTATAGCTTTCGAATATTTTCTCTCATTCTGTATGTTATCTATTCTATTGATTATTTTCTTATCTGTGTAGAAGCTTTTTAATTTAATCAAGTCCCATTTGTTTATTTTTGTTGTTGCTGTGATTGCCTTGGGGTCTTCTTCATAAATTCTTTGCCTAGGCCAATGTCTAGAAGAGTTTTTCCAACATTTTCTTCTAGAATTCTTAGTTCTACTTTCAAGTTCTCTATTTCTATCACAATTCTCTATTTCTTCACTGGCCCTCATTTTCAATGATCTAAAAGATTAAAATGTAAAATGTAGCTGTATAAATGGTATAAAACTTGAATATATTTTAATCAAAAATGTAAATAATTTAAAATGCAAAACATAGAGGAATCTCTTCATTTGTTATTTTTCTTCTAAATGATACAAAATTATTAAAATTAATAGGTAAAAAATAAGCTATAATGTATGTCAAATCATAAGGCAAAATTAAATAATGCTAAAATTTAATTTTTGAAAATTTAATCTATTAAAAATTTGTATAAGAATAAGACATTTTGTGCTTCTAGTATTCAATGTCTATCTAGCTGCCTATATTGAGAATTATTATCATACTTTAAGCATATTACATCTAGACACAAGTGTGTATAAATTTAAGAGAAATATGAATTGTTTAATATTGCAAAATATTCCTTGGCCACCATATGCAACAACTGCAAATATTGAGCATACCTGGAGTAATTCCAGAACCATGAATAGGTTTATATGAAGAGAAGCAAGAAAATGGATGCTCAGAGCTAGTGGGAAATGAAAATTCATCATGCAAATACCTATCCTGTTCATACGATGAGAAGAAGGATTTGACATGCTAATTATTTTATATTTTCTCTTACCTAAATGCTTCTGAAGTTCAAATCCTCCCTGGATTCTGAGGCATTCTCCTTTTCTCATGTTGGAGGTAGCATAATCCACAATATTTCATGGCATACAGATGTAATTGCCATGTATTTCCAGGAAGCAGGTTAAAAGAGTGGAACGGAATTTCCCTGGGGCCTGATGAGAGCTAGTCACAAGGTGAATGTTTCGCGACAGAGTGCTTACGTTTTTTAAACCATTTCTTTTTTATGTGTTGTGGGTATTTGGGATTTGGGGGCCCTTTGAAGCACGGTAACCAGAGCCTCTTTCTGCCAGATCTAAGTATGGTACTGAGCTCACCTGTCCATGTTTCCCTCTTCTCTTTCTTAGTTCACCACTTCAGTGCACATCAAAATCACTGTGCCATCATAGCCCAGTTTAAGGTCCCAGAGATTTACTCTTTCAGTCATTCCATGACTTATTTAGAATTTGAACTGAAAAATTTCTTTAGACTCTCACATGTTATAAAACTGTATTTGTGAGGAAAGCAGGAGGCCCACTAATAAAGATGGGCAGTCAAACTTTTGTATATGCTACTCCCCCTGCCTGGAATGCTACGCTCTCCTCTTGAGAGCTATTTAACGCTTATTTAGATCTCAGTTCAGTTGTAACTTCACCGAAAAGGCTTCCTTGACAGGCCTAATTTGTTCAAATTCTCTTTGTATCTGTTCCTCTAGCATCTTGTTCTAGTTAATGGAGCAATGATTTTACCTTTATTTCTGCAATGTAGAGAGGAATTGACATGAGGACTGTGTGTCAGTGTGTTTTGGCTCACAAGCTTAGCCCATGTTTGCACATAGAATACATGCAAGATTTAAATAATTATTTAATGGTCTTGCTATGAACTGAATGTTTGTGTCCCCCTAATATTTACATATTAGAGCCTCATCTCCCTGTGATGGTATTAGTAGGTGGGGTCTTTGGGAGATAATTAGGTCATGAGGGTAAAGCTCTCACAAATGGTATTAGTGCCTTAATAAGGAGAGACATGAGGCTGGGTGTGGTGGCTTACACTCGTAATCCCACCATTTTGGGAGGTTAAACAGGAAGATTGCTTGAGGCCAGGTATTTGAGACCAGCCTGGGCAACATAGCAAGATCCTTTCTCTACAAAAAAATTAAAATTTAGCCAGGTGTGGTGGCGCATGCCTGTAGTCCCAGCTACTTGGGAGGCAGAAATGGGAGGATCACTTGAGCTAAGGAGTTCGAAGTTACAGTGAGTTATGATCATGCCTAAATGACAGTGTAAGACCTGACTCTAAAAAAAAAAGTTTTTTTAATTTTAAAAAAAAGAGACATGAGAGAACTTGGCTCCTCTCTCTGTTATCTACAAGATGAGGATAAGGGATGACAGCCAGCAAGTAGGCCCTTCCCAGACTTAGGATCTGCAAGCACCTTGATCTTGATCTTCTCAGTCTCCAGATCTGTAAAATATAAATATTTGCTGTTTAACACATTGACTACCACACAAAAAAGTAGAAACTTTTCTTTAGGGCCACAGTGTTTTATTATGAAAATAGTCTAAAAACTTCGAGTGTAATTTGAAGGTTAACATAAGTGGAAAAACAAAATTTATTGACTTCTATTCATTTAATCTACATTTGTAGAATTAAACTGTCAATATTAATTGTAACAATAAGAAATTCAACAAGCAAGATTTTATATATGCTTCACGCAGCCCCGGGGTCAAAACTAGAGTAAGTTAAATACAACTTTCATGCAATTAATGTGTTAAACCATCTAGTATATGGTAATTTGCTAAGCAACAGACTAAGACAGCAGGAAAGGATTTTGTTAAACTCAGTTCAAAGAAATTCAAGAAAGCATCAGATTAATTACACTCAAACTCAAATAATCAAGCACTGATTTATTGGCTCAATCAGAAATCATACTAACCAACACTCGGGAGCAGAAATATTGGTTAATGTATTAAGAAATAAATTAACAAAAGCATGACCTAGAATATGACATTTAACCATGCCAGAAAGCCTGATCACCATTTGAAATCAATGAGATTAGCCTGGCAAAAAAAGTGTACCATCAAGTTTTGAGAAAGTGAGCGTTGGACACTCTGATTCTGTAGCCTTAGAAATGGAGAAGGAAAAATATACATTTCTTTTCTTCTCATATGAAAATGAGACCCAAATTGCTTTACAGTCTTTACTTCACACAAAATAGCATTAATCTGTTTCTATCGAAGTAATATATTGGAAGTGGAAAGGCTAAATCATCTGTTTTTATTAGGTCATACAATAGAAGTAGAGGTCCTAATAATTGTCTATTATCTTCCCTCTAGTTGTAAAAAACATACCTCAACAGTTTTATTTCTGCTGTAAAATCTAGCAGATGTTGCTGCTAAGATTGTGTGTAAATTCTCTTTGGAGCAAACAGAACACTTTTCTTTGAGGTTGAGAGGACTCCTTCCTTGGTATTACCCACAATATGGGTCAGAATTGAAATTCTTTGCTTTAAAATAATTAAATAAACTTTGCTAGTATTCTAGAGGAAGAAAAAATAGGTAGAAACTGCTAAAAAGTCACTTGGGGAAAACACTGGTCAATCTTTCTGCAGTATTTTCAATTAGTGTCAACTTTGGGAATTATGGTTTTAGTAAATATTTTGCCTCCATTGGATGATAATAACTCTGTGGTTTTGTTAGCATTTTAATTTCTTGGCTGGAATTACTCTGAAATAAGGGAAAGTCTGTGTTTATTTTGTAACTGTTTCAATAGGTTGCATTTTTTATTGGTCAGGTTTTATGAGGAGGAGACAAGGAAAATAATTTCCACGGGATTTTATTAACAATCCATGCCTGTGAAGGTAAAGTTGGAAACAAAATTTCATCTCCTTATCACGTTGCATAAGTCAGTTTTTAAAAATCTTACTTCTCTTATTTAACTGGGCTGTTACACAAGATAGAACTGTAAGCTTGTCTCATAACATTGCTATGTCCTTAAAATTTTCCATGACCTGTATTTTGGATTATAGCTAAAATACTTTTAAATAGTGAACAATTTTATGCCTATCTGGAACCAAATCTTTCCATTACTGTTTCTGTTCTGTGTCCCATTTCACAGGTTTTTAGCATAAAGTAGCCATAAGAAGAAAACATGTTTCAGAGGTTTTGAAAGCAAGAGAGATTTGGAAACCTCAAATCCCCCACTAGCCTTGAGCCTGTGTACTAGTTTGATATTAATAGTATCAATTTATAGCTGAATATTATTATAAAGTTGAGCCAAATTGAGAGAGACGGCCAAAACAGCTTCTATATGTGACATCTCAATTTAAAATTTATTTAAGCTGTCATTAGCAAAGTGAAACCAGAGGCATCATTTTCATCAAAAATTAATGCCCTCAACCCTGACCCCACAAAAGATAATTGTCAAGAGCCACCAAAAATCATGTAGATACTGACCTTTTACATCCAAGTTTCCCAGAAGTTATTAAATCTTCAATTCCTAGCATACCTGGGGCACAACTCCCCCTTTGCCCACCACCATGGCTTTCCCACCATGGGGAAAGTGGTGTTAAGGATGGCTGGAGGGAAGGATAAGAGATGACACCTGTCCTATATCCTTTCCCCAGCCATACTTGGGCAGGTAAGGATACATCTGAAAAATCTCCAGAGACTTCCACCCATCAGCATGGTTACCACATAGAGACCTGGTGAGGGTTAGTTAATCCCAGTTAGTTAATCAAACACTAATCTAGGTGTTGCTGTGAAGGTATTTTGTAGACGTAGTTAACATATATAATCAATGGACGTTAAATAAAGCAGATTACCCTTGATAAGTGAATGGACCTCATCCAATCAGTTGAAGGCCTTAAGAGCAAAATACTGAGGTTTCCTGAAGAAGAAGGAATTCTACCTAAAGACTAAAATATCAGCTTCTGCCTGAGTTTCTAGCCAGCCAGCCAGGCTACCTACCTGCCCTATAAATTCTAGATTTGCCTGTTCCCACAATTGAATGAGTCTATCCTTAACATAAATCTCTTTGTATATGTATAATACACATATTTGTTCTGTTTCTCTGGAGAACCCTGACTGATACAGAGCCTTTTTCTATTCCCGCTCTTTCCTTATTGGATTGTGTATTATGAATTAAGAGGAGTTATGAATAGAGAAGTCTGTTCATATTGGAGAACTATGATTCTAAGAACTATGTTTAAACACTTGGGAGAATTCCTAGAGAAAACCAGAACATTGCTTTCTCCCATGTTTGGCTGTGCATACTATGGGGATCACTGCACTAGTTACCTTTACTATACTTTTTTTGTTTTGCCTTATTTTACTTCGTTGTGCAGTATTTGCACTACAGACAAGATGTCAAAATTCTGCCTCAATTTTTTGGCAAATGTTTATAGTAGAAATTAGATTTTTTGTTATATGAACCCATAATCCTTAATAATATGACATATACTTTGGTATCTATGTATTTAATTTGAATAGTGTTTAAGTATAGATGTACAGTTGTCCCTTGGTATCTGTGGGATATTGGTTCTAGAACCCCCCATGGATACCAAAATCTATGGCTGCCCAAGTTCCTGATATAAATTTGCATAATGTTTTGCATAACCTAGGTATATCCTCCTCTGTACTTTAAATCATTTCTAGATTAATTATAATACCTAATACAATATAAATGCTATGTAAATAGTTGTTATACTGTATCATTCTGGGAATAATGACAAGACAAAAATGCTGGTATGTGTTCAGTACATATGCAATCACCCTTTTTTATTCCTGAATATATTCCATCTGCCCATTGTATTCCACGGATGTGGAATACAATGATAAGGAAGGCTGACTATATTTGATATAATTATATGTAATTAGGTCATTCAAATTAATTAAAATTAAGTAATACTTTGGAGATGAGCAAGAATTTCCTACAAAATTTTCCACAAACTTCAAAAATTAACTGAATTGTGAAAATAGAAAATGCTAATCAACAAATAATACTAGCTTGAAACAATTCAACAGTGGGGCTGTTTAGGTACAAAGCTGCTTCCTTGTGGCATGCTTTTAGAACCCCAAATACCAGGAAATATCTATAATTTTTTTAAATTATTCTTTTGTGTGAAAAAGTTCTATCATGTCAGCTAATTTTCAACCATTAAATATTTAGGAACTTCAGAAAGCACACAGTTATACTGACAAACCTCTCTCCACTCATTCTATGATACTAGAGTTTCTAATGTTCCTTAGTTGAAAACATCACGTTGCTTCCCTGTACTATATTGGATTATGCAAATTCTAGTTTTGTAATAGTTTATATAAAGAAATGGGGTGGAAACATCAGGTTCTAACAAAATAGGAAATGAAATTCTAATTCAATTAAAATTTAAATGATAATTTTTTATTTTTTTATTTAGTCCAATGAGGTTTAGGAAATAATAAATTTTAATTTAAGCTTCTGACTAAACTTAGAATCATCTAGAGTGCCTTAATTAAATCTGTCTCTTTTGAAAACAGAATGTGAAACAAATGTAGCAAAGGTACAGGACTAAAGGACTGATCTATTTACAACCATTTTAACTTTTGAGATGTGTTATAAATCTGCTGCTTGTTTTTATTAGCATTTATTCTACTTTGCTCTCAGAGCTCTAGTGAAAAAGAGGATATCCCTTATTTTGAAGCTGCTATCAGCTTATAATAGAGGCAATAAAAATCATGTCAATCAGACCTTGGGTACAGGTCTGGGTAGAGACCTGGTGAGGGTTAGTTAATCCCAGTTGGTTAATCAAACACTAATCTAGGTGTTGCTGTGAAGGTATTTTGTAGACATAGTTAACATACACAATCAATTGACTTTAAATAAAGCAGATTACCCTTGACAATGTGAATGGACCTCATGCAATCGATTGAAGGCCAATCAATCCTGGCTCTACCACCTCCAGCTGTGTGACTTTGCCAAATGAACCACTCTCAGCCTTAGTTTCTTCATATGTAAAATGGGGATAGTAATATCTTATTCACTGAGTGATTAAAACACCAAATAAAATTTTATACACACATATTCTAATACAATTAATTGTATATTTTCTTTCCTGGTCTATTGCTGGTTATTAAAAAAAAGAAAGAAAGGAATAAAGTTATATTATATAATTTAAAAAAAATTGTACATATACCCACATCCATATTTTTTTTAGAAAAAGCATTTAGCATGGTCCTTGGCAAGAGGCACATGCTCAAGAAATTGTTGATGTTATTCTCACCTTAAGAGCTTAGAAACTGTCTTTACTCAAAAGCATTAAAGTTCGGATCTAAATAAATATATCTTCTTGTTCAATATATTTTAAAACTAAATGACATTTGAAATGTCTATTTATGTTCATTCTCCCTGTGAAACATAAAACATAAAAACTTACTGTATAGGAATTTCTTGGTTATAAGCCAACAGAAACGGACTAAAGTAGAAAA